CTGTAGATTCTTGCATGGCAGATGATTTGACTAGCTGGTCTTTTCCATCCCTTCGAACTCTAGAATTTTGTGTTTACTCAACAGAAGGGCTCAAGGGTTTATTTCTACCAAGGAAAAGTATAGGCTGTACCACACAATGTTATAGAAGTGGAATTTTAATAGGATAAAAGCATCTTTGGCTGATACTTATAATACAATGTTGTTTCCGTCCTGCCACTGCCTTGCACTCCATTCATTACTCTGGTGCACCTTTTCATTGATGGGCAAAACCCATCAATAGGCTCTCAATCTCACTGCTGTTTCATGACTGCCTTTGTACGATAGGTCCCTTCCATTATAGTTCCACTTCTCAGGCAGTCCCATGGTGTGAGTCAGTGTGAGTCTGCTTCTCTCCTCCCCTCTCCATTCCCCCATGCAGCGATCGTGGCGGCCAGTCCCTTCCTGCACATATGTGCATCAACAGGCATCAGGAGGCATTTGGCAGCTGTGATCACACAGGGCTGCTGTGTGAAAGTGTATACAACAGCCCTACACTTCAGAGGGGGGCAGAGCAGCAATCGCAGCCACCAATGCTTTTCCAAAGCCGGCTGCTGTGTGCACAATCACACAGTAACTGGCCTCAGGAGGCAGTTGGCAGCCACAATCGCTCCTTCCCCCTCTTCCTCCCGGAAGGTGGCATTTGCAGTGCAGAAAGCAGATTGTGCAACCATGGATTGCCAAAGCACTATCATGGGGAAAAGTCTGATAAGAAATTATGCCAAACTCAGGTGCATCTGAGGAAGTAGACCTAACTCTACGAAAGCTCATGCTGCCAACTTCTTTCTTTCAGTTAGTCTCAAAGGTGCTACAGGATCTCTCTACAGATGAAACTATGTACATGTAAATGCACTTAGACTGTGCACATGATTTTATCATTTAAAGGTATAATTTTAATTTTGCTACTTGTTTATGTCACAACTATTGCCATTACATTCAGTGAGATATGGGAATTATGATTTATGAGTAACATCAATAAAAAAAACATAACTAAGGGTTCTGTATGGGGTGGTCTGGAAAGAGATCACGTGTGTGTGTGTATGTGTGAGACGTTATGAGTTACCCCACTGGGCAACGGCAACCCTAGTGATGCCACTAGTCATTGCTAATCACTGGCTAGACTTTTTGTGATCAGTTTTGTCCCCTGACTCTTTCAGGTACCAGCAGTGCCTGTTGCAGAGATGGCTGCAAATCCCTCCAAAGCAGATCAGGTCCCGTCTGATATGTGGGACAAGCGTCTCTGCAGAACAGCCAAGCAGGATCAGGTCAAGAAGGAGAACTCCCTAGGTAAGACTAAGTCATAAATGGAGACTCCATCTCAAGATCTTTGGTTTACAGTTTACATTTTATAACTCACCTTTTCAGCTCAATTTGGCACACATGGCTTTCTTCCTCATAACAACAACTCTGTAAGGTAGGCCAGACTGAATGAGGGGTCTTTCACACTACACAATTCTAGACTTTGATTCCACTTTAATTGACATAGCTGCATCCTGCAGAATAACAACAACAACAACAACAACAAAACAATATTTATTCAATCCCGCCCCTCTGTGTAGCACAACTGGGGTAGCTTATAACATTAAAAATACATTACATATCCCATGGTCCCACACATCCCTTAAAATAGCATTAAACAATGAAACCATTTAAAACATGCTTAAAATAAAATACAAATAACAGACAAACAAACAAATAACAATAACTACGGCGGAGTTAAGGGAGAAAGTTGGGCTGACTCTTAAAGGCCAGGATATCTAAATACTAAGATTTGTAATTTAGGGAAGGGTATTTAGGACCCTTTCACACTGCACAATAAGAGCACCATAATTCCACTTTAGCTGCCATGGTGGAATCCTGGAGTATGTGGCTTCCTGAAGCGCTAGAGCTCTCTGGCTGAGAATTCTTATTACTCCTTCCTAAACTACAGATCCCAAGATGATGATTATTATATTTATTTATATCGTGCTTTTTCTCCAAAATTGGGACTCAAAGCAGCTTACAGTTTGAAAGCACAGTACAATTAAAAATGTACAAAAGTGACCGTTAGAATAAAATTAAACTATTACAGTATTAACATTGATCAATTGTTTAAAATAAATGGTTTAAAATAAAAAATATACTTTAGTTATCTGACCAGAATTTTGCTGGAATATATATCTCTATATCAGGAGCCGGCAACCTACGGCCTGCGGGCTGGTTCCAGCCCAGGGCCCCGCACTTACCAGCCCAGGCGGACCCCTGCCGCTGCCGCCGCTGCTGCCGCCGCACGTTTTGCACCGCAGCCGCCATTTTGTTTTCCGAAATGGCGGCTGCGACATGCATGGAGGCGGCGGTGGCAGCGTGCGCTGGGGGGTTGTGCGCGGTGGCAGCAGTTGCCATTCCCCCCCCCCAGGCCCGCCGGAGAGGAGGACTTCGGGGGAACAGCCCCCGGCTCAAAAAGGTTGCCTATCCCTGCTCTATATAGAAGATTAAAGAATTGGAAGTTACAGGAAGAAGAAAATTGATTGTTTGCTTGACTGTTGTTTGGTTTATATAGAATGATGATTGTTTGATGTACAGTTGGCCCTCCAGATTTGACTTTTATGGATTTGATTATTTGTGGTTTTGATTAGTATGTTCTCTTTAGGAATCTCTACAGATCTTCCAGCACAGCTCTGCCAGAAATTGACCATAGAGTTGTGCTGGGAAACCTAGAAGTTCCTAGAGAAAACACTTCTCTAGGCATTTGTAGGTCCTCCAGCACGATTCTACGATCAACGTCTGGCAGATGTTAACCATAGAGTTGCACTGGAGGACTTGGAGATTCCTAGAGAGGTGTTCTCTCAGGTAAAAAGAATAGTGTTTTTGTATTTGCTGTTTTTCCACATTCATGAGGGTCCTTCACTCCTAACCCCAGCAAATGTGGAGGGATCACTGTAATTTTAATGAATATGTGAATAAAAATAAAATAAAAAATAAAATCAAATAAGAAATCAAACATAATATATTCTGCTATATAATGTGACTTCTTGGTCCCTCAGTCCCTATATTGGGAGAAAGGCAGGATTGTAGGAAATGAAATATTAATATTAATACTAATAATAATAGTGTTTTATTTTTTAAAAAAAAATATTAAATTTTATTGTTGCAACTTTTAAAATAACTCCAAACAACATTTAGCAACAAAAACATCTCAATCAAAAATATACACAAACTTACAGACAGAAAAGAAAAAGAAACCAATAAATAAAGGAACACAACATTTATCCAACATACACATCTATATCCATTCTATGAATTCATACATTTTAAATCACACTTATTTATCAATTCTCATATCTTTCTTACAGTACTATCTTCAACCTTTCATCTTTCCATCCTTATTCATAATAATACTGTTTTCCATCTTCTTTTTTCTCCCTGCAGCCGATGGGCAGTCGGGAGAAGATATTCATTTTCAGCAAAGCCCTGATCAAGTGGAATCGCACGATGCATCCATGAGAATTGGCTTAGTTTTCCAACGCCATGAAGAAGGAACCGTGCCTTTTGGTCAGCGGGGCACAGTGAAGAACCCAGAGGAAGATT